TCCTTACCTGTTTTTTGTTTTGTTTTTGTTTTGTCCTAGAAGCCCAGTCTCTCAGTGAAACACAGGCTATGGGGCTCAGAATGGCTTGTCACCTTCACCAGAAAGTCAAGGTCCTCGGCCAGTAATAGTCAGTTCCTTTCGGAATGAAGATTTTGATGATGACAATGGCCATTTTCTGACTCTAGGGGCTTTGACTCAGTGGATTACAATTTGAGCCTGAGGAATCACGTGATTCTGACACACAGCCAGGCCAGGCGATTTGTTGAGGAGACCGACACTGTCTCCAATTTATGCAGTATCTGCTCCTGCTGTTCCTGCCCTTCTCAAGACCCCTAATGAACTCTCTGTTCACTCAAAGTTCTGTATGTGTGCAGAGTTGAGGCACTGGGGAGCAGGGTGTTCACTGTTAAGTAAAATAGTAGCACATTTAATATACCAACGCCCTAGCTAATGGATTATCAGTAAACCAGGAAACAGAAGAGAAGAGCTATGTTTTGTAGAACAAGAGAGTTTTGCTTTGCTTTGTTTGGGTATGGGGAGTTTAGACAGGGTCTTGCTCTAGGCCTTATATAGTCCAAGATGACCTCTAAAATCCAGCCACCCTTCTGTCCCTTCTCCCAAGTTCAGAATCACAGGTGTGACTATGTCATGCCAGTTTTGTTTTGTTGTGTTTTATACAGGTTGTTGTCACCTAGCCCAGGCTGACCTCAAACTCAGGAGATTATTCTGCCTCCACCTCCCTCATGGTGGGGTTACAATAATATGTTACCATACCGTAAGGAGACCAGGGACTTAAGGGTTAGGTTGTAGGAGCCAGCCACATGAGGTAAAGGGTCTGGACAAAGGACATCATACTAAAGAAGGAACACAGGGTCTGTTGCCAGTGGGAAGAGGACCCTCTGGCTCAGCACCAAGTGTGTGAACAGCAGGGAAGAGGCGGGCACCCCGGCTCAGCCCCCACCTCATATACCATGTGACTGAGTCCCGCCTTCTGCATGGAGAGCCCGACTTAATTGGTATTTCTTCTAATTATCAGATTTAATCACCACCTCTCCAGTGAGATAATTTTTAACTCAAATGAGAAATTAGTATTATAAAAGAGCAAGTATGAAAAAAGAACAGAATCCAGCGAGGGACGCTTGTTAAAGTGACTCTGGGTACTGGCACTTTACTTCCTTTGCCATTCAAGCCATCTTAAAGGTTCCCGGAGGTCTGGGGTCTCTGGGCAGACTCCTGTCAGCTCTCTCCAACTGGGGGAGGAGTCCTTAGCTTGCTGTCATGGTAGTGAGGCTGGGGTCCATGCCTCTAACTGGCTCTGGCTCTTCTTCATTGTTGCCTACCATTTGGTGCCCTTGGGGGTCCTGCTGCAGGATCCACAGAAGAAAAACCAAAGACTTCCTTTGGGCTTTGTGTGTGTGTGTGTGTGTGTGTGTGTGTGTGTGTGTGTGTGTGTGTGTGTGTGTGTGTGTGTATACCTAAAACTATCAGTAGGATTTTATGTTTGGCCAGCTAGTCAAGTGGCCACAGTAAACAAGAGATGGCCTTGCTCCATAAATGAGGGTGGTCTCCAGTGTGCACAGTAGTGACTGGCCAAAGCTTCTGGAACAATTTTTACAAGGATGGAAAAGTTTAACGAGTTCCAGTGCTGGGGAGGTCAGGGAAGAGGGTCCCGAGCTGCTGTCAGAAGGCAGCCAATGTCAAGTGAGCCAGCTTCCGTATTTCCTCCCAGCTGCCGTGGGGGGTTTTCTGAGGGAGGTTAAATGACTTAGAAGCTGCAGGGTGAAGGGCAGATAGACTCATGAAGGTAGTGGAGTGGGGACCAACAAAAAAGCATGATGAAGAGAAGGTAGGGGAAGGCTGCTGCAGACTGGATTTGAAAGGAGCCTTTACAGGGGTCTGGCATCAGGGGGATGCATGCTGGATACCCAGACCCAGAGGAGGCTTCCCTTGCCTCAGCCTGCCCTTGTCAGTCTTCACCTGACACCTGGACAAGGGTCAGGGGTCAGCAACTCTTGGTGCAGAGTAGTTGAGATGGGGTAGAGAGGAGGCAGTGCTTCCTGAGGTTCCCCATGCAGAGGTCTGTACTGGGTGCTGCATGCATTCACTCTCCACAACATCATTAGGATATAGCCATCACACCCTCACTTTATGAACAAAACTCAGAACATTTGGGTTGTCTGAGGGGTCATGTGGTTTGCCCACAGTTAACTAACTTACTGTTAGTTAAGGGAGATAGATCTGAGACTGTTGGACTCTTAAGGCAGACCATTGGCCATCAATCCATCAACACAGCATAGGTAGTTCTCCGGTCAAGAAACCATGGCTGGGTCCATGAAATGGCTTACCAGCTATAGGTACTTTCACTTAGGCCTGGCTTTGATCCCAAGATCCCACAAAGTGGCAGGAGAGAATAGGCACCAGAGAGCTGTCCTGAAACCTCCATGCATGTGCCGTGGTTTATGCAAGTGCCTCCAACACCTAATACATAAATGAATGAATGAAGGGAGGGGGTGAATCATGACTTCCCTGAGTATACATAATGCTGTTAGAGCTATGGGTGCTGTGGGCCCTAGATTGAGCAGCAGGAGACTGAGTGCTTTGGAGACTGTGTCTTTGGCATCAGTGGGCATACATTTCATCCTCCTTTGACTGGGCATACTTGGATAACTCCAAGAAAAAGGGGGAAGATCCAGGCAGAACCACCACTCCCCTCACCCCAGACTCGAATGACATCATATTTCATGCCCAGCATCTTCCACAGCTTCCCTGCAGTTCATGCACCTCGACACTAATTTTCAAGTGGGTATAGAGTCCCTGCACATAAGGTACCCAGGGCCCTTTGAACCCTACCTTTCAACCCCATTCCTGACCCTAATCAAAAGAACACCTGCTGGGCTGTTTTCTTTGTGGCTCTTTACCTCAAATCTTTTCCTTTCCAGTTATACCCTCTGCTGCCAAAATCCACCCTTCCTTCTTTCTATGACCTCTCCCTGGTCCATTGTATGGACAGCAGATATTTTTCCTGGGCCATTGAGAGTGCTGCAGAGATGGGCTTGCTCCCCAGCTCCCATTTCCCCGCCTTGAGTATTGTCTCTTAGAGAATATATTTTCAGAGAGGAGGCTGACTGAGGAGGGATCCCAAAAGAGCCTAGGCTAGTGGTTCATTCCCTCACCATATAGTCCCAGGCTTATGGAAAGCCCCCTTTCTCTGCCTTGCACCCTCAGTGAATGGAGGAAGCCTGCAGACTGGACATTCTCTTTGGGTGCATGCTTTTGCTTGGGCTTCCTAGCTCCCCAGGAATTCACTCCCATTGCCTATCCACTCACACCCCATCAGGATTAATCAGGACTGCTTGTCTGCTCTCATTGAGAGGATGGGAGACAGTGCTGAACCTCAGATGAAGCTGAGCATGTGGGCTCCTAGCGACTGCAGAAGTCTGTAAGTCATTCTTCTGATTTAATTAGATGCACACTGACATTGCACTCCCTGAACCTCACTGAGGTAGCAGGGAGACCACATGTAGCTGTCCAGTTGACCTAGGATGCCCTCATCTATCCAGGCCCATTGCAGGGGAATCCTGCTCCCATTTATTCCCACCATCCCTCTGACTTCCCCTTCCTCTTGTCCCTCCTTTTGTCTGACCCCTACTCACTTGGACTTGATTGGGCTCACACTGCTGATGATATTCATCTTTTCTTCCACTCTCATCCTGTGGCCTCAAACCCTTGAGTACCAACAGGCCAGTGGGTGAATTTGGCTCCACCTCTCTGCTCAGGAACTTGGGACACAGGCCAAAGACTAGGCATCCTTGGCATGTATGAACAAAAAGGACAGTAGAGGCAATGTCTGCCCCATTAAGCTGTGACTCTGGCCTCCTCTGACCATGAAGAAATCATGGTACTATCCTGTCTGTTTTGCTGGTGGAGGAAGGTTATGAGGAATGCTTGGGAACTTTTGTCCTCCACAGACAGTGGGCATTTGGGGCTGGCTAATTTCTTGTGTGTGGTGGTGGGGCATCACAGACATGGTGTTCTGCCCATTGTAGGCTATTCAGCAGTATCTCTGACTTTAACCCATTGCATGCCAGGAAATTGGCATCAGTCTAAGCTAAATCAGTCAAAAATGCCTTCAAACATTACTATATGTTCCCAGCCAGCCGCATTGCCACCAGCTGAGAACTACTGTGGAAGCTCGGCTTCTCTGTTGGGCATCTACGAGGCTGTGTGCTTGGGAGTTCAGGTCCTGTATGCCAGAATGCTTGCTATGCCTGCCCTTGGGCTCTGTCTGCTGCACTTAACTCTCTGAGTGGTTTTTTTTCCCCTTCCCATTTTGCAAATGGGGTCATTGCCTACTTCCCAGGATTAATGAGAAGAACAAATGAGATACAAACTATAAAGTACCATATAGTATTACATGAAATATGTTTAATCACTACTCTGTTATTATATGCAAATAAGACTGCAGCTAGATACTCAAGGGAGAGTTAATTTTAAGTGATGATGAAAGAAGGGAAGACAGAAATCCAGTAGATTGGATTGGGAGGTTTGTGTGAAAGTATGTAAAGGGGAGAGGAGCTGGATGGTTGGGACAGGTGAAAATGACAAGCAAGCTGCAGGAGATTATTGTAGTAAGTGGAGCCCTGGAACTGCATGGGGGCCAGGAGACTGGGGGCTGGTCTGGGGCTGTTTCCCTAAGTAGAAGGAATGCTTTGAGCCATGGCGGAAGGGCTCTGTCTCCGGGGTTGAAAGGCAGGTGTAGTGAGATGGGGTGTTGGGGAAGATCAGAATATTGGAGATGTCTTGGCCAGCTCAAGAGAGAATGCCAGGAAGGGGAACCCATCCAGGTGTGGAAGCCTCCCGGATGAAAATGGGGACAGCTTTAGAGAGAGGCTGGCAGACCGACACCTGCTCTCTTGGCAGCTCAGGGTTTCCTACCCTGTCCTCTGGGAAGGGTGCTCTGGCTTTTCTTGGGGGACCATCTGTTTCTTCACTTTCTCCAGGTTGTGACAATGGGTTGAGGATGAGCACCTCACTCAAGCAAAGCCAACCACAGCTGCTGAACTCCGGCCTTGGTGCTCCTCCTATACACGACATTAAGATGCACGTGTTTTCTACTGAGGCTGCTAACCAGGACCCTCCCTGATAATGGGGCCAGCAGAGAACAGAGATGGATTAGTGATGCTAACATCTGTCCACCAGGATCCTGCCATGCCTGAAGCCTGATTACCTCCAGCCTCAGGTATTTTTTTGGTTAAAATGAAATCACACATTCCGTTATAGGTTTTTGCTTAGTCCCACTTGAGTTGGTCTTCTCTAGTGATGTGCAGACTCTGTGTGGGAAAGCAGCCAAAAGACTGGCGAAAAATTAAGAGCCCACCTTGGGAGTAGAGTCCACCCTCATCTTTTACTCTCCATGATAAGAAAATACTGAACAAGATAATGATAAGGATCTTTCCCAGCAGTAAACAAGACAATTCTCCCACTCTTACAGCCAGGTATCCAGGTTTATAAGTATTAGGCACCAAGATTTCCCCAGATCCAAGAAGGGATAGTGCTCTCCTACTCTATGTGGGCTGGCCCTGGGCAACGCAGTATAGTCTGAGAAGGTTCTCTCCATTGGTGAGCATCACCTTCTCTCTCCACTGTTACAGTATTCCAGGCTTTTCATCCCAAAGGCATCCTGACCTCCCATACTACTCAAACTAATATCAGTTTTTTTGTCCTTCAGTTTGAATAATATTGAAACTCAGGCAAACCACTGGTTCAGACTCCTTGATGACAGATTCTTTGTGGCCTGCAGGGAAGCTGGTCTGAATAAGAAGTATCTAGAAAGTTCCCACCCCTAAGGCCAGACTCCAGGTTTTCTGGAGGGGTGGATGCAAGCTAATTTTATTCCAGGCTGGAACTGAAAATGAATGGCAGACCAGAGAGGGCATTTACAAGAGGGTCCCGGTGTCAGCAAATTGTTACACTGAATTGTTTCCCATGTCAGGCAGAGCACGGGGCATCAGTGTGCTCTGCCTGAGGCTAATCCTACTGTTCGGTGCTTTGTCAATGTGTTCTGGATGGAGCCTGATGATGAGCTCATGATTATGACAGAGGGCCTCTTTCTGTTCCTGCTCCCAGTACTTTAGCAAGATTTTCTAGGTAACCAAGGTAAGACTGTGCCTGTCAGTCCTCCCCTATTCTCCTTGTAACCACATCCCACACACTCCCTGGGAAGGATGCTTAAGTCTAATTGTGATAAGCTAATGAAAATGAGAAAGTGCTGGTGTTTGGGTATGTGTCCAAGAGATTCATGTGGGAAAGACTACTGGAAAGTGATGGAAGCTTTAAGAGGGGTAGGGCCTTCTGGGAGGTCCTTAGGTCATTGTGGGTGAGTCCTCAATATGGAGTAGAGGATTCTAATCTCCCCCTTTTTTTCCTGGCTGATGACACAAATGGCTTTGCTCCTCTAAAGGCACCCACCCTGATGTGCTTGTTCTACCACAAGTCCCATACGATGAGGACACTCAATCACAGTGTCCAAAGGTGAACCAGAGCAAGCCTTTTCTCTTTATGATGTAATTATCTCAAGTATGTTGTTATACTGACAACAAGCTGACAAACACAGAAAGTTTCTGTTGTGAATGGTGGAAATGGGCAATGGAAACCAACCTTTCACTCTACCTTCCCAGCTTTGGTTGGTACATTTCATGACAGTCTCCCCATCCCGCCATGGCTGTTAGAGGAAAGGGAGAGACTGCCAGATCCTGTGGCTTCATTCAGTCTCTTGGGGACTGCTGAGAGGGTGGAGATAGTCCACCTGGGCAAAAGCAAGACCACACATGTGTTCAGACAAGACAGCCAAGTTTCCTTTAGTCCATAGGTGAGAGGTGAGCAAACTCTTACTGTATAGGCTCAGAGACTCCATATTTCGGTCTGGGTAGGTTCTACATCACTGCTATTCAGCTTTGCCATTGTGGCTCCACAGCAGCCACAGACAATGTGTAAACACATGGTGTGATTGTGTCTCATGAAGAGTGTGTACAGAGCAGATGGATCTACAGGGTGGTCACATTGTTGTCTGACCTCCAGGCTTGAGTGATGTGGTGTACCAGTGGAAACATACTATGGCAGTCTATTTTCTGTGCCCTCTTCTTGGGTCAGTGCTGGATTTCTCCACTCCTGGAGGTGTGACAGCAGCTGCTGATGAAGAAAATGACATGGCCCTTTAAGATTCCCTCTGGAGCCCTGACATCAGGTTTTGGAGTGAAAGAAGAGGGAAGGAAACTATCTCAGCATGCCCATCTGTGATCAAACATTGGGTGGAGTTTCTACTGTTTATTCTATAATTCTGTAAACAACAGAGTTCAACAGCTATTAACATGGAACTTGCATCATCATCTAGGGTGATTTAATGAACTGGAATAAATTGGGACATCAAAGAAGCATCCATATGAGAACAAATCTACTGGAACACAATAATCACAGGCAAGGTAGGGGATGGACAGAAGGTCTACTCATGGATCATGAAAGACAATATGTACATATATGTGTATCTATATCTATATCTATATCTATATCTACATTGCCATAAAAAGTATGTTATTTTCAGGAACATGTGTAGACATGGTGAACATTACAGAAGGTGAAGTCAGCCCAAGCAAAGCAAATACCACATAGATCACATGATCACACACGTAAGAGCTGAAGTTGGTCACATGGAATCAAAGAGTGGAGTAGTGGTTGCCAGAGTCTGGGTAGGACATGGGCGAAGGAGATAGGAGACAGGATGCTTCCCCAGGACAGCAGTGCACTTGCATAGGGGAGATAAGGCCTGCAGATTCTACAGCCCAGTCCTTTGACTATGGTTGACAGCGACGATGGCTAACAGATCATCAAAATGGCTAGTAGAGAGAATTTTTTTTGAGACAGGGTTTTCTGTGTTCCCCAAGCTGTCTTTAAATTCATGATCCTCCTTACTCAGTTTCCCAGGTAGCTGGGATTAAAGATGTGTATGACCACAGCCAGCAGTAGAGAGAATTTTGAATGTTCCCAATACACAAAAACACTAAATGGCAATAAACTCTCCAGGAAAGTGTGCATAGGTTCCTGTGCCATTTTATACATGGCACTCGAACATCTGCAGAACTTGCTATCTGTTGAGAGTCCTGGAATCCTCCATGCATGGGGAGCAATGATGATTTATTCATTCATTGTGCAGTATTTAGTATGCTTCTAGTGGAGGAGTTTCATGATTGCCACTTGAATATCTGCCCATTCTGTGCTAGGCCTTGGGTAGGCATTGTGGCTTGGAGGAAGAAAAAAAGAAACCCTATTCTTGCTCCGGGGAGTTCATAGTGTAGTTAACAGAAAGGAAAACAATTACAGTACAGTGAGGCAATTGTGGTGACATTCCCAAGCAAACAGTTCTATAGATTGACAAGTGGATACAACATGTCTTCGAAGGCGGAGAAGGACATGCACAATGCAGTGCCTGAAGGAAGGAATTCACTCACTTCAAGGCAGAGTACCTTTGGCTACCTTTCACCTGCTTAGAATCCCAGTGAGCCCTGGTCCTGGGCCTCTCAGGCACGTTTGTATAAATGAAGAAGGGCCCATTCAAAGAAAAAGCCTCCCCCTCTTTGCTTCTTACAGCAGTTTTTGTTTATCTCATTATCTCCCAACCTGAAGAACAGGACCATCTGGCATGCGGGCATGTTAACAAGATCATAAATTAGGAGGAGAAATGGAGCCAGATTTCCATAATGGTCGCAAGACAGAAATCAACAGCACTGCACAGCAATGGAGTCTGCTTGGAAGGTAGGGTGGGAGACAGCAAAATGAAAATGCCTCAGCACATCCAGCCTGAATGAAAAACACAAATCCAGACTCATTTACAAGGAGTGTGTCAAAAATAAGAAAAGTGCTGGCCAAGCATCTCTCCTCCTTTTCTTCTCTCCCCTCCCCCTACTTCTGGCCTTCTCCATCTGCCCCTGGAAACCGGACCAACTTGAACTCTCCCTGTACTCAGAGATCATTATTGTAATAATCATGTGGAAATTCATTTTGAAGGGGGAAAGATTCACCCATGCATTAGACTGTCTGTCTGGGCCAGAACTGGGGGCAGCCTTGAACAATTGCTCCATGGTATCCCTGGGACTCCGAGTATCTGCAGGAACTCTGCACCTTGGCTGTGGTCAGGACAACTGTGGTTAGTGTGAGAGACCTGGTCCAACAGACAACTGCATGTGAGTGTGTCCCGTGCAGCTGCACACACACCCAGCTCACCCTGCATCCACAACCAGTAAGTACGTCATCTTGGTCTCTTGGCCCAGCTATTGCCTCCTTCCCAGTGGTTTGTTAAATACCCCATGAATGGGTGGTGGGGCTGGCCTCCCTGTCTGCTGTCTACTCTTCTCACATTTTTTGCCTCCTTGGAAACTCAGAGTATTCCTTTTTCTCCCAGTAACAAAAAATACTACTTCCCTTAAAAATATTTTTAATCACATGTATGTGTGTGGGTGTGTGCTTGTGAGTGTAGTCAGGGGTTGCAGGTTCCCTTGGTGCTAGAACTCAAACTCTGGTCCTGTGCAGAACAGTAGACACTGTTAGCCATTGATCTACTGTTAAGCACTGGTTGTGCTTACAGAAGGCTCCGAGAGAGAAGGGCCTATCCTTTTCAAAAATCAGGAGTGTATGTGATTGATAGACTGCACTGAGTAAAACCAGATGCATGCTGCCTGGTTCCACAAGCCTAAAAGTAACTACTGTTTTCTTTTTGTTGTTGTTGTTGTTGTTTTGTTTGTTTTTTTGAGACAGGGTTTCTCTGTGTAGTTTTTGTGCCCATCCTGGATCTTGCGCTGTAGACCAGGCTGGCCTTGAACTCACAGAGATCTGCCTGGCTCTGCCTCCCGAATGCTGGGATTAAAGGCATATGCCACCACCTCCCGGGGGTAACCACTGTTCTCTGTTCGACGCCCCCCCCCCCATACACACACACAGACACACACCTTCTTCTGGGATGACTGACTTTGGAGAGGTTTGCATCATTCCCAGGGAGCCTGCAAGCCCATCTCTGTTCAGTGTGCTTATTCTCGGGATGGCAATTTTTCCAATCTCTCCCCTGAGTTTTCCCTATTCAATTTCCCTATTCTTTTTTAAACTTTTTAAAAAGTCAGTTTGATAAGGTACAACTTTGATGGTTCCATAGACAATTGTTCTTGCTTTGGACGTGAAAAGTCCTGTATTCCTATC